CTGAGCCTCGTCTCAGTGGAGGTAGATCTTAGCTTGAAAGGCCGGAACTTTGGTTAGGGCTTAAAGAGAGAATTGATGCACTAGGGTTTTATCTAGCCCTGTGGTCCCAAGAACATAATATTCTAATCTCAGGGCCTTAAAATATTCAGGAGTAAGCAGAGAAAATGCCAAATAGTCTGTTTTCCTTTTCTTTTTTTTCCTCTTTTTTTTTTTAAAAAACTCAATAGTAGAATTACAACACATTGTTGTTTTTAGCCTTTTTTAAAAAGCCAGTTCTTGTTCTTTTTCTTTTGTTTCAGAAAAACTAGGCACAAGTGAAACTTGCTTGTACTCTCCAAGTGTTGTAACCAAATACATGACTTATTGACAAGGTCCCAAAAACAGAAAAAGAACCCCACATACCTGAAGAATGTACCTTTTTGGAATGGGAGGGCACTAGGGGACGGGTGTTGTGGTTGGGGTTTTTGGTTTCGGGGTTTTCTTAACTCACTTCATCATTACAGACTGAGTTGTGGGCAGTGCCTGTGGTATTGATATATTTAATCTTGGCATAACTGTTCTTAAAGAGCTTATTGTTTTACATGTGTTTATAGAAACAGGCTTCTGCATTTGCTCAGGGTATCCCAACATGTCAAGCTCTTTTTTTTTCCTTTTCTTTAGTAAGAGTATCCCCTCATTGACTTTTGTTGCACTCTACTTGCACATGCGCCTATTTACATTGCACCATCCTTTGTAAAGCTGGTTTTACTTTTACATTCTGGCTTAGGAGAGGTTGAGGGGAGGGAGAGAAACAGGAAGGGAAGTTCAACCAAAACGTGTCCACCAGCATTGTGCAGCTGGCATTCAAATGGACCAGTGCTTAAACCTCATCATTTGGAATGTAAAAGGCAGTTTCACTCTGCCCCGTAAGGAATAGCTTCCTGCGAGGGTCGGGGAGGTGACGTGCTCGGAGGCACCGCAGGCAACGAGCAGGAAAGCACTGCAGTAAATCCAGAGCAATTAATGCTGTGGCAGCTTCCTTAAGACATAAAAAGCTCAAAAGAAGCCATGTTGGTCTGTGAACGTACCCGTTGGCATCTGATGCAAGCATTTGTCTGCTGCTTTGTTCAAAGCAAAGAGTTAATGTACTGGCTTTAGTTTGGCTGAAGATTTGCTCTTCAGCACCACGGGGCAGAGCGGTGCGAGGGGCAGCCCTGCACCTCTGCAGCAGGGGATGGGGAGCACCCTGCGCCGCGCCTGGGACTTGGATCATGTAAAGTGCTTGTAAATAAGGATTTGGGTGCATTGGTAGAACTGTGACTGGAAGTCAGCATTGCACTAACGCTTAGTCAGTGCTGCTCCTCCTGTAGTACCAAATTATTAATAGAAGAATAGCAAAGGTGTCTTTGCTCACGTCATGGCGCAGAGGAGAGGAGTAAACTCACTACCAGAGGCTGTAGTGATTGAAACCATGACAGCTGATTTACAACAGTGTTACTAATCAGTTCTTTTTATTTCTAAAGTCTTTCTAGAGTTATAGCACTTAGCCACCATTCTCAGTGCAAGCATCGCTATGGAGTAACTTATGTAAGTCTTTCCACTCCATATTTATTTGTGCAAAGCTGTCTGGGTGTAGCTCTTCCTTCAGTGAATAAGTTGGTGAACGGTGGGGGGTTGGGGGTGGGAGTTACTTCTATTTTGTGTTTTGTTAAGCTTGCATCAAGGGCTTTTCAAAAGTACAATAATAAATCCTCAGGTAGTACTGGGAGTCAATACTTTACCTGTGAGACTGTTGGTCAGACCAGTACTTGAAAGGAGGAATGTTGTAATCAGTCAATATTTAGTTATATTATTGGAAACATGAAAAATGAGTATAGAAAAATGGTAATATATAATGGCTCATCTGTGTATTTAAGATACATTATGTGATTGCTTTGTCCCCACTATTCTCTCCATCATCTGGTAGAATATTGTTCTAAGGCAACATTTGTACCCCGTTTGTATTAAAATGCATGTAAAGTCTTCTAGTGTCCTGATTAAATACCATGTGCTTGAAAGGTGAAAGAACTTATATTTCTGCTTCCTGATGTGCCCAAATTATATTTGCATGACCTGATCATTAAGTGGCTGTGGTTCCAAGGGTGTTGCTGGAAGTCCCTTCGTTCAGCGCTAGACTGGTTTGGTGTTTATCGGATAACATGTACTCGCCCAATCCTTGGCATGACTTCCTATTGAATTCCTGCGTACTCAGTGTAACCCGGTTGTTCAGCATGGTTCATTTCAGCTGAGTAAGTATAGTACAGACATTCCAGAGAGTTTAGTAAGCCCTAACCACACCTCACCCAGGGCACTTGGGGCAGGCAACGGCCCAGTGATTTCAGGGGCTGACTGCCTGTGCTGCCACTGGAAGAGGAAGAGAGGAAGACCTCGTGCTAGAGCCCAGTGACAGCCTGCTGTGACCTGCAGAGATGCAGCTCCTGCAGCAGTGGCCCATGTGAATAGCAGGAACTGTAACTTAAAGAACTGTCCTGTTCCCAGGAGGGAGTATTATATTTTAGGCCTGACAGGAAAACAGAGCATCCTTCCTTTGGATGCAGAACAACTCACTCTAACAAGAGAAAGCTTCTGCAGCCAATAAATGTTCTGACCATCCCCCTTCCTGCCCCTGGCTTTTGCTATTTCTCCCTCTGTTCCAAACATCCCCTGTCCTGGGATTGGCCATGGAATGTCCCCCAAGCCTGGTGAGGTGTGTGTAAGGTTTATCATACTGAACTGTAAGCATTTTTGTTTCGATGTCCTGTATATGTATGTAGTAGTTTGGGTGTGTATATACAGTAGCGTTTCAAAGTGGGTGTATTGGTTAACCTGTTCTTGGAAAATGGACAAACATCCATGTTAAACTTGTTAGAAAGTTAGTGAGCTGCTCTGCTATATGCCTTAAGCAAATATTTACTCATCAGGTCTTTCTTTTTTACAGATTGCCATAGAATAAACTTTTGTAAAAAAAAAAAAAAAAGAAAAGAAAAACCCAAAAAAGCTCAATGTTTTGGTATAACAGTTTCAGGTCTCTGTCTTTTGTGTAAGCGCTGCAAAGACCTCACAGGTTCGAGTAAACTGTACAGTTTTTCAATTTCCCATACGAGTTTTCAGTTCTCATTTTAGTTGTAACAATAAAACTCTTTTTTTAAAGAAGGTACGTGAGTGGTGTTGCTTCCCCTCTTCCAGGGGTCAGGGCTGGCTCGAGCCTGAGCCGCTCCTGCAGCAGGGCCGGCGGGGGCTGGTGAGGAATGGGATTTAAATGAAGAACTTTCATGTAGGTCAGAGCTCCAGTGAGAGAGAGGTAAGTGCATGACTGTCCCTGACACATCCATCGCCCTCCTTTAGTCTTTCACTTTAAACAGTTAGATTTTAACTGGCTTGGCTCAGGCAATCAGTGTAATAACATGAGTGTAGGAACACTCAAGCAGAGAGGGTTTTCCGAGAGTTTGAGTTGTGCTGTAACTCAAAGCTGCAGGTGACAGGGAGAAGGTATTCCCATGTGTCCCTGTGCCCACAGCCATCCCACTACTGTGCTGGTTGAAGTATTTACCTTTTGGTTTATATCTTTAAGGGAAGCTACAAGTGGAAAGAGAACTGTCACTAGTTCCATAGACTGGTGGTATATCAGCAGCCAGAGTGAGTTCTCATGCTCCTGAAGCTGCCAGCAACTGACCTGTGGGTGTAAAGCCTTGTGCAGGCAAGAAGGTGACTGTGCTGCCCTATCCCCTTCTAGGGGCAGGGCACTGTGGGGAAGACAAGCGTGGGGCACTGGAGAACTTACCAAAGTAGAACTTCTTTTCCCTGCCTTTAGAAAAAACATCTGTAAATGAAAAGCAGTGTTACAGCACAGATAAGCAGCCAGTGAGGTTTCACTCTGCTATGGAACAGCATGACCCAAACACCACAGTCCTGCTACCCAGCACTCCAGTACAGCCTCCAGCTGTGTGAGCAAAGCTGCACAGCTCCAAACTCAGCCGCAACAGCATGAGCTAGACAGACCGACAAGGAGCGGTGTGTGACACCGAGCACTGAGGTAAGATCCTCCTTCCCCTGTCTGCCTGTGCCCAGCACCATGAAGCACTCACAGGAACTTGCCTCAAATGTTTTATTAGAACTTAGAAAACAGTATGAAATCCAACAATAAATACTGAATAGAAAAAGTTATATATAAAAATATATACACACAAGCTAAACCCTTTCAAGTATTTTACCTGAAGCCAGGCTTCTCTTCATAGTGAGCTCAGTGGAGGGTAGCCAATGTTGAGTAAGGAGCCTGACAACGATGTGTAATTATGAGAAGTTTTGATCTATGGCTAAATGAATACATTTTAAAACCAACAACAAAAAAAACAACTTATCCAGAGCAGTCCGTATCTGTCAGACCTGCCCGGGCCACATACAGTAACTGCTGAGGAGACACGTCAGTCCTTGCTTGCCCCTGCCCTAAGCTACAGTGATGGTGAAATTGGCTGTTGAGGCTTTCGTTAAGCAACTGAACTGTACAAGGAAAGGGAACGCCAAGCAGTGCCACTGGATAGTCTCTCATGGAGGTGGCAGTTGCTGTAAATGACCCGGTGGCTGCTGGTTTCTAGATGGACTGCTGGAGAGTGATCATTTCTCTCCTCTATAAGGAATAAATAAAATACTTTACAGAAAAATAGCTCATATTTGATTTAGTTTGAGCGGGGGCAGGCGATTCCAGTGAGACGGGGAGTTTAACTCAACTGGTTCCATATTCTAGGAGATCCCAGTTTTCATTTGTCCAGCACTTGGTATTTCGTCATGTGCTGAGAGAGTAAGAAAGTATTCCCACCTGCTTCATGCAGACTGCATCCTCTGCCCCTTCGGGAATAAACCTGTGCTCTGTCAGCGTACAGCACAGAGCAGGGCGTAAGTAAACCAGGCGCTGATGGACACCACAACCAGCTCCTCAGGTACCCATGTGGGGCTGTGGGAACAACACGAAGGCTCCTCCTCCACTGCTAAAACACTGTGATTTCAATTTCAGCCTCCTGTTGTGCGGTGTCTCTGAGTTCACAGCAGATCCTGTCCATCTTCTCAAAGGCTTGCCGGCCCTGTTCACCTGTGGAGGAAGAGAAGACAGCCCACACTGAGGAAGAGAAAGCAGCTAGAAACACACTGAAAAACGGGATTCTCTGGAAATGCTGCTGTTGTGACCTTGCTCAGAACAACAAGAACTCTCAGTAGTGACAAACGCATCTCTAAGGGAATAGTTTTCCAAAAACTACTAGAAGCCGCCATGGAAAAATCAGCCTTCTGTAAACATTTCCACATGACTAACAACTTGGAACATCACAGCTGGAAAACTCGTGCAATACACGTGAATCTGAGTGTTTCCAAGAAGCAAGTCTGGAGATCCCCAGAACTAAGTGTGAACTGAAGCGGTTTGGGGAAGAACAGAAGAGGGAAACGGCTATCTATCTTCTGGATAAACTGGATGCCCTCCCCAGCAGCAATGCATTCAAGAGGGGCAGCCTGGGCAGTTCTCTGCCTTCAGCAGAAGCACAAATGATGGCAGCACACAGGGAACACTCATGTTTCACAGGCAGGTCAGCTCCACTGCAGGCCTGCCAAGTCCAGGTGAAGTAACAGAACATGGACCAGTAAAACCACTTTGTTTGCTCTCTTTACTCCTCCAGTGTTCAGAGTGGAACCACGTGAAGAAGAATAGGAACATCAAAATTAGAAGTAACTAGGCAGTTTGTAGGTGGCTAAATAAGACTACCAGACCTGAAGAGTCTGATGATGTTCTGTTACATTTAAAAGACCTTTAAGTCATCCTCACTAATCTCAGCTGGAAGAGGCTTTATTGTGACTTGCCAGGTTCTAACGTCCTTGTTGCAAGATCTAGGAGGAGAAAATTGCTGATGCCAGTACTGCTGTTAGGCAGCACCATCAGGAGTTACCTGCCACCTTCTTAAAAACTTCAGTGGCTCTTAAAGCACTTTATCCTACAGTGATGGCCTTGGTCCTGTTCTGCAGACCCAGCAGAGCCTGTGGTACAAAGCTCATCTCAGTGTTATGAAGTAGCTGTTGATAAAGTATTTTCATTGTCCCACATGTGTTCAGGCCTGTTCTGGTTCTGCACTATTTCATGTTACTAAGTAGTAGCACGACAGACTTACCAAAGGAGAGCGTTGTTTCCCTGGCTGCATTCCTCACCTCCTCTGCATCGGACTGGCACAGGTGGGCAACCTGCTCGATACTCTCAACACCCTGTGTGAGAACAGCAAGAGCAGCCTTTCAGCAAGCACCATGATGAACATTCTTTGCCAGTTAAACTCATCCACACCGACTCCCATCTCTTCTTGCATCCAAGTTCTACTGTCACCTTCCCCCCAGAGCAGTTTGCAGGTAATTTTTCTGATCCTGCTCAGTAATTTAAGAAGGAATGATACTTCCTCTCCTCTTTCAGGGCATAGAAGAAGTGCAGAAGTTCTCAGGTGCAGCTCACTGCTGCAGCACCATTAAATCAGCACAAACCAGTCAGGACCTTCACTGAAAGGGCAGCTGCAGGTTGTGCAGGGGCAGCAGTGGCTTTGCAAAGCTGACTTTGAGGATAAGACTGATTTGTTGGGCCTGTCTTGTGACTTGTCTGTAGAAACTGTGCTCACAGTAATGCCTTGTATGCAAACTGTGGCTGCTGGAAAGCTTCACATCTGTTCTGGCAGTTTCTTACAGCAGCAATGCAAATGTTACTTTTATTTCCTGACTATAAGCAGCTTGTGTTGAATATGAGATGAACTGATTTAACTTTCAATTTCTACAGTTAAAGCTTTAGAACCGACTCCATATACAGCTCACTGGGGCTAAGTTTGACACGTGCAAGATGTCCCCCAGTCAGACAGTGGCTGTTGTCCTTCACCAAAACCAATGCTGTAGAAGGTACAACACACCCGTTCGGCCACTCTACTGTGCCCCCAGTCAAATCGAGACACCCCCAGATCCCTGCAGCTCCCTCTGCTGCTGCCTTTTGAATAGCAGCATAAATAGTTTGTAACTTTGGCAATCAAATCATTCATTAACTCCTAAGACAAGCTGAAAAAGTGATCCTGCTGGCTTAAAAAAAAAGCTAGATACACTTTGCATGTGGCAGTTTTGGCCAGACACACACAGCAGGAACAGAGCTGTAAATACTCACTCTGAGGTTTTTAAGAGCCAGACATGCAGCTTGCTGAAGTCTTGTGTCAGAGTCAGCTAAAGCATCCGTGTAAAACAAGAGAGCCTGAATGGAAGAGAAAAAGAAAGGTTTTATAAACTACAGCACAATCACACACTGAAATTCAGCCTGACCTTGGTATTACCAAGCTGAAACTGAATAAAGGACACGGACAAGTCACTCGAGCACTGGTGTAGTTTAGGTTCTAGTTAGGCGGTCCGGGAAGATCAGAGGACAGCAGCACTATTCCAGGACACAAGATCCGTGTATTTCAGCACCTGTTCAGACAAGCCGGGAAGAATTCGGCCTTTACCTTTTCCCTGCAGTTCCTGCTCGCTGCCACACGGCACAGACAGGCCGTGGCCGCTTTGCTGACGCGGTGGTTGTCGTCCAGCTGCAGGAGCCCCAGGAGCCGCAACGTCTGCGGCAGCGGCTGGGGCCGGCGGCGGGGGCCTGTTCAGCCGCTTTCCTTTCAGCTTCTTGAGAGTCTTCAGCCGCCCAGGGCACTGCAGCTCCTCGATCAGCATCACTGCAAGAGAAAGGGCAGCTGAAGACAGTACCAAGAGAAGACAAACCCCCCTAATTCGGTCTCCCTTAGCCACCAGCAGCTGTTCACATGTCTCAGGCACAAGCCAAGCATGGCAGGAAGCAAATCAGGACAACTGTCCCTTTGACCATCCTGTCTTCTCTCTCTGTCATTGTTTCATTTCCTCCTGTGCCAAGACCATCTGATGAATGGAGCAGAGATTATTTCACCCTACTGGTTCACAGGGTGAGTGAAGCCTTGGGTGCATCAAGTACAACATGCAGTGCTAAAGAACTGCATCTTCTCCTACAGTTTTGGCCATTAGGACAAGCAGACCTTCCACAGTGAGGAAAACACTGTCTAGCAAAATGCTTTAACCATCCCTGACAGGTCTTGCTGTCCTGGTCAAAGAGAAAAGCCTCTGTCTTTTAAAACAGATGAGCTCAGGCACTGGATTTGCAGTTCCATTCTGAAGAATAGCCCAGGATTTCCTCACTGGCCAGCAGCACACAAGTTCCTCAGCAAATGACTCGTCTGCATCAAAACAAGACTAAAGATGCAGCCAATATCAGGACTGTTTTTAAAATAACTCTTTTCTGACACAGACTAAGCTGTAAGTGCTGTCACGTGCTGGGCTCCTGCTTCATGTGTAAGCTCCGAAAGTGTTTGCTATTACCTATGTCTGGTTACAGCTGCACAGTCACAGAGCTACAGACATTCACTCAGGCGTTGAAGCCAGCCCTCGACTGCTGCCAACTTTGTTTCTGCTTGAACTTCAGACTTTCACAGACCCAGTTTTTAGAGCACTTATGATAAACCCATCCTTCCCACCTCTGCTTTGTTTATACCCCATTAGATATAGGAGCCAAGCTTGTCCTTCCTGTTCTAATTAAAATTACGTGATCATAAGGGGAATTGTCTATGCAATGGTTGGGCTGTTTTCTGCTCTGAAAGCAGACCTTGAGTAGTAACCTGGAGAGCAGCTGCTGGGCTTGCCAGTTCAAGGGAAGGAGCCAAGCACTGCCCTTACCTTCTTTAGCAAGTTTTCCCAAGTGTTTTTCCAGGCTGGTGATGTGGTGCTTCTCCAGGTAGCTGTAAAATTGGAATGAAGTCACTAGTTCTGTTTGGAGGGGCAGGGAGGGGAGCAGCCCATCACAGGTGACAATCTGCTCTAGCAACCTCTGCAGTACTGGAAGCAACATGGGAAAGAACACAGGAGAAAAGGAAAGGTTGGTTAAACGTAAACTGCTTCGAACAAGTGAAGTAGGAGTTGTAGTTTAGTTTTCAAATACACAAAGACAACTTTTAGTCATGCAACAAAAGGAAGCCTGAGTGGCAGCTCAGTACCTGCTTCTAACTGACGGGGGTACTTCTCCTTCACTTTGAGCATCAGTGTGTATTTTAGTGCGTGACGGAATCTTTCTGCTGAAGCAAACAAGATGCTGCCAGGCTCTGCAAGGTCACTCCACATCTTCAGATAGTGCTTCTTCTTCTTAATCTTCTGAATAACTGAAAAATCACATTTCAAAGACAGTGAGCTCTAGCAGATTTTGGATTTCACATGAGAAATGAGGCACCAGATGGTGTATGTAGAGATGTGTCAGCATTGACTTGTGTTTGTGTTCTGTAGACGGCTTTGTTCAAAGCTGGAGATTTGCTGCCAAGTATTTTAACATCTGCAAGCACTGATTTCACCAGGCTTGGGTTGAGCTCCTAAACTGTCATTACAAGACCTGAATGAGACACGTAGCAGCATCTCTGCCTTGTGTCAATTCATTTTATCCAAGTCAAGTTTCAGAAGAACTTTCTGTGAGTTTAACTCTTTCCACTTCTATCAACCAGAGCTGTGCTATTGCCAAGCATTTTAGAGGATCCTGTCTTATGTACCTTCACAAGTGGAGAACTCTGAACCTCAGTGCAGAGGCTGAGTCATGCTTTCCTTCAAAAGGAAGAAGAGCACTTGAAGCAGAGCACTTCAGAAGAGGACTTGAAGCTCTGTGGCTTCTCGCTATTATTTAAACCCTTTCCCACTCTTACCTACAAAGATACTGAACTTGTGTTCTTCATTTAAGACTCCTACACTTTCCTTGTCATGCTGTACCACAGACCTTTCAGAGCTTTGCTCCACGGAGAAGTTTCTTCTCACAGCCTTCAGCATAAAATCTGTCAGCAAATGCTTCCAGTTAAAACCTGCATTCCTGCTTCTCGCTATTATTTAAACCCTTTCCCACTCTTACCTACAAAGATACTGAACTTGTGTTCTTCATTTAAGACTCCTACACTTTCCTTGTCATGCTGTACCACAGACCTTTCAGAGCTTTGCTCCACGGAGAAGTTTCTTCTCACAGCCTTCAGCATAAAATCTGTCAGCAAATGCTTCCAGTTAAAACCTGCATTCCTGAGAGACCAAAAGTCCTCAAAGTCTCCCACTGGGCCTTTATGATTTGTCACATCCAACAGCCAATGGAAGTGATTTAGTAGTGGGAAGGCCTGAGATGGGACAAACTGCACACCAAAAACTTTTGGGCTGTTCGGTTACTACGTAAAAGCAGAGATATAAAGGAGGATTTTATTAGTGTTATGCTGTTCTTTGACTGCAAACTCCATCATCCATAACATCCCTGTTTCTAAGACAAACCAGTTCAGCTACCAGTTCTTTGAGACAAAACTTCCTGAAATCCTTTCCTTCCTTGCAGAGGAAAACCAAGCAAACAATGAGCCCTGTTTTCCCTAAGAATCCAGGCCTAAAAGCTGGTTTAATTATGTGACTGTGTACAAAATCCAGGATGAAACCCTGATGGGTCTGGGGAAGCTCAAGCAGAGCCACCTGCCCCTCTCACACCTCAGGCATGCCTTGGAATAGTGCAGTTACTCACTTTCTTCAACAGACAGATCCAGGACATCCCCTAGGACCCGCGTCTGCTCTGATACCTCTTCCAGGATATTCCTCTGGACAACCTGGGCTACATTGGGTGAGCTCAGTTTCTGAAACACAACATGCTTATCTTAGTAGCTGAAACAAAGGCAGTATCAAGCACAAGATGAATGAGGGTTTGTTCTTGGAATCAAACTCCTGTAATCTATAAGAAAACACACAGCTGCTCTCAAAAGGCCTCTTTGCCCATCATGGCATAGATGGGTCCTTCTGAGTGCAAACCTCCTCAGCAGAACAGGATGAGTGAATCACACTGTGCTGGCACAGGCTGTCTGGCACTTGATTCTTCCCCACCCCGTCCATTGACAACTGCACAGCAGATCAATACTAACTGTTACACTGTCCTTTGCTGCCCATCCTCATCAGAGGAAGATGATAATGTGCTTGAGCACTATAACTGAAATTAATTGAGGAATGAGGTCTCAAGGGGAGGCAAGGCTTCTTTCTTGCCTACATGCTGCCAGTTTTGTTCTAGAAGTAGCAGTTTTCATTCATTAAGAAATTGATTCCCCTGTTATCGATACACAGTTCGACCCAAACCTGCTCTACTGCATTAGCAGCCTGCTTGGGGCACAAAGGTATTACTTAGAGCTTCAGCAAAACCCAGAGGCTGAAATAAAGCAGCAGAGTTTTGTATGACACATTCTGAGCATGCACACTGCATTTTCTGGACTTTGAGCCTTTCTCCTTTTATAAAGGAACCAGCCACATATTCGCTTTTGTTTGTAATTAGAATCAAAACCACAGACTGTTCCTTACCTGCAAAAGGCCTTTGCACAGCTTCAGATGAGTTATCAAAAGCGTGTCTAAGTTATCATCACCAGTAGTTACATCTCTTGTTTCTGTTCTCGTGTCACAGCTCAGGGACTGGAGTGTGGTGTCATTGTATGTGCTGTTGAGATGAGGAAAGAAAATAGCAGAGAGTTAAAACTCTCAGAGCTAAATAAACTGAAGATGTGCAGTCTCAATAACAGCCTTCAAGCGAGTTGCAGAAGTACAAACCAGGTGGCATTTAACAGATCTCAGCCTTTTTTATTGCACTGATAACACTTCTTAAAAACATGAGGACTTCATTTCTATAACTCTTTCCAGTACAGTAAAGACAGATCAGTTGATCCCACAAAATCCCATTCTGTAGAACCAATACTAGTAAAAGATGCTTCCAGATAACATGAATTGAGTTGCTGGCTCACTGAGAAGCAGCACATAAGACAAATCCTGTGGTGTCTCCCAATTCACTGATATCGGGAATGTAATAAGTCTCCCAGGATCAGGCTCATAGCTCTGGAATGTTCTGTTTCAGTGCTACACAACTTGCAAAACTGAGTTCAAAAGAAGCAACAGGCAGAAGAGATCTGTAAGTTACTTGTAGCCCTCTCCCTCACTAGGGCAGCACTGTCCAGCACCATCCTGATCAGCCTGTTTGCTGCAGTCTGTTTCTAGCAGCCCTACACGTTAAGCACTTCCATCATACTCTGTGGGCACCATCCCGCAGTGTTTTCCATAAGTTTAAGTTTCCTGCCATTCCAATTGGGTTATTCTGACTCTCAGAGTATTCAGAGCAATTGATTTCTGTCCTGGATGTTCCTACCAGCAGCAGCTCTGCACAGCTGTTACTCAGCCAAGCACAGTGTGTCAGGAAGCATTCCCGGGATCAGCCCTCCTTACCCCTGTAAGAAGTGCTGCAGACACATACCTGATACTGGCTGTCCGTACGCTTCCGAACAACGACAGCTCATCGGCGCTGCAGTCAGCGTTTAGGAAGTCAAAACTTTCCAGTACTGTCTCCACCATTAAGCTTTCCATAGATGAGTGTTTGTGATGAAGTGTCTCTAGCTGTGATGGAATGGGAGGGAAGATACCATTATCTGTGGTGATCAAGCCATTTCCCATGAGTTCTTGGCAGTTTTTCCAATCACTCTTAATAACAAATCAATTTGCTTTTCTGATTTCATTCTTACAACATCAGGAGTTACCTCCTGCTACAGGCTCTGATCCAAAAATAACGTTCTAACTGAATTAAGAACGTGCTTCTGTATTTTGATCTGTCTGTATTACTCCCTGGATTTCCCTGCTTGTTCAGGCTGATACAAGAGCTGATTTCTTCTGCATCTTGTGCCATTTTCACTTATTCCCTGCTTTACATCTTGAAGTAACTAATTTAGGGGTCTGTTGCATTCCAAGAACTTTGACATCAATAGTGGATTTCATGGGGCCAGTAACTTTCTCCCCCTTGGAAAGGCTGCTGTGAGAGCTCTGGTTAACACTGTTTATTATTCCAGACCTCAGAGGAAGCCTTACAGTATCTTATCTACCACCTCTGCACACTGGCCCCACATACTACAACGCTACCAGGTTTGCAATATAAGCCACTGCTTGCAGAAAGCTCTTCTCCAGGACCTTTCCTCTAAAGACAGATATGTTTTCAGCACCATATGACTTGTCAGACAGTCTGAACTGCCTGCAAAAGCTGTGTGACCCTGGAGAAACATTAGGTTTGAACTGATGCAGTCATCTCCAGACTAAACATGAAAACATCAACCAAACTTAGAGGCAGACAAAATCCAGAGGCCGTGACACACTGTTCAGAGCCTGCTGAGCCCAGGCTCGCTTCCACTTCGACTGCAGGCAGTTTCTTAATTTCTTTTTCCTCGTTACTGACCTGCACACAGCACCTGCAGGCTGCCTCTTGAGAGAGGCTGTTCAACCGCGGGCTCCTGTGTAGTCAGCTCTCAGGGTTGTCTTTTCCGAGCAGTGCCTGACCTCTGGTGGCCAAACTTACTTTTCGGGAACATGCTGTTGCTACATCATTACCTCAAATCCACCACAGTCATGGAACCTCTTCAGTTTTAGGAGTAACAGTGGAAGCTACACCATCTACCAAGAGCAAAACTCCAACATACCTTTAATTTATCTCTCAGCGATGAAACCTGGTATTCCAATTTCTCCAGCTGAGCTTGCACCACATTATATGATTTCAGCAAATTTAACACTTCTTGGAGAGTCTTATCAATTGACTTTGTATGTCCATCTAGTTTTTGGTCATGTGCAGCATTCAAACTTTTCTGGCTGAAGTCTTCATGCTCTGTCAGACGGTGGTTTCTGGTCTGGTGGAAAGAATCTCCACCTTTGTGACGACTCAGAAAACTAGGTGGGTTACTTGGAAATCCATCCACACACGGCGTCTTCTTCAGGATATCCAGAGTTGTGCGATCTGGAAGATGATGCTGTCGCTCTTCTGCACAAGTCTCTTGAATCATCACCAATGGCAACGTCCTGTGGTCTAGAGCTGGAGTTGCAGTTCTGGATTCCATCCCTTTCTGATCCTCAGAGCTGAACGAGTCCACCTCGCTTGTCTCTGCTGGGGTGCAAGGCTTGCTCCTCCCATGCACATCGAAATCACAGGCAGCCAAGTAGCTCAGTATGCTGGGAGGCTGAGCTTCATCACTTCCATCCCCCTGGCTCTGCCTTTGTTGCAAAACAGACTGCAGCAAATAGATTCATCAGTGAGCACAGAGACAATTGAGAAGCACAAGATACCACCAAAGACAGAGAACTAAGAGAACTGCGGCCTTCTGTTCTTGGAACCATACACACCCAACTGATCAAAACCACAGGGCTCTTCTGCACAAGGCAGCCAGGCCAGTGTAGACTGGACAAAAGAAGGCTTGATGGTTAGGGGAACATATCAGTGATGTTACTAGTACTTGAGATATATGGCAGAATTAAAGGGTCATACAAAACAACCCCCTCTTGAATGAATGAGGACAGAGGTTTCTATTCCCTTTGGATACACTTGGCAAAAAGTGGCACTGAGGAAGAGGAAGGTTGGTTCATGTAGCACCTCTAAGACACCATTCTGCTCCACAGAGCAGAGACTACCAAGACAGACTTGGTTCCTAGTTTGGTTCCCACCACAGACTAGTAGAGCAGATGCCCACACCCCACCATTCTGGCTGCCAACAGGAATATTTGGCAGCCTTGTTGGGGTTTTTGTCCAGTTTTGGTTCCATTTTTTCTTATGCAAAATCTCAAATGAAACTCAAAAGAATAGAGGTTGAAAGAAAAATATAATGAAGCCCCAAAATACACTGCAGAGGCCCTGGAGTGCTACAATTTTCACAGGGCTGAGTTTGTTCTTCAATAGGCTGGTCTAATCCCAAAGTCAAGTCCTAGGTCTGTGCTTTGCATTCTGCTCTCCTGGGCATACTCACCAGGTAATATTTCTCTCTGAAGCTGGGAGTATTTGGTGGGGTCCAGTTGTATAATGAGCTCTTCCTGCTACTCACAGAAAACTTGGCAGTGGTTCCAGGTGACAAGAACAGGTTCTCTGTGTCAAAGGGGCTGTAGAAGGACATACAAAGGCCTAAGTGTCAGCAAGTCCAGAAAGCACAGAAACATTTAGCAGCAGGAATAGCTGTTAGGATTTGAACTGTGACATTTAGTAAACAACACAGGGAATAAACGGAAAGCAAGACTGCCCCTCTGACCAATACCTTTGATTGCACCAGCAGAGAAAGAGGTAGGCAAAAAGGTTCTGTATTTTACATGGAATTCTCAGCACGCTTTAGACAGAGACATGTGCCACAGTCCTCGGAAGAGGAGTCCAACAGGCAAAAAGTTTGAAGCACTCTCTGTCCCTCCACAGTGTCCTACACAGACCCCAGTGCTGGCAAGTACAGCATCAGCTGCTTGCCAGCAGCCACTGGACAGATAGCAAGATATACACCACATCTGACACAGGCAGGAATTATAACACAGGTAATAAAGGAAAACTGCCATGAATTCCCCCTGCAGAGCACACACCACCTGGAAAAGCCACTGAAAAACCCCACCTGCATTATCCTTCAAATATTAATGAACAACTCCTTTGGCTGGCAGAGGAAGCCTGTGCAGGGGGATATGGCAAGTTGTGTGGTTCATACACTCATCGATGACCCAGTTACAGCACCAGAGGATGCGGGCTATGGCCTAGAAGAATTTGACAAGTCCCACTCTAAAGACCCCACACTTACCTACTGTATCACAGCCATCAATTTCCCAACTCCTTTGCAAAGAGGCTAAGGAAACATGGACAAACTGCCTCCCACAATTCAGCTCAGCAAACCAGGACAGGGAAAACATATTTTAAGTTATTTAAAGCAAGTGTGTCTTTATGACATGTTACTTTTGTTCTCCACTGATGTGCCCAGTGGCACAAGGAGGTTTTCCTTCTAGGTACCGGCATTTTGAAAAACAGTTAATTTTTTGTAACAAACATGCAATCTCACAGATATGACCATAATGACCAAAGAGTAGGATAAAATCAGCTGCATTCAGCTGTACAGCACAGAACCACAAGCCTGAGAAGATCCAAACAATCACAAGGACTAATCAATTACATGAAGTGGAACTTTGCTCTCCAGCAAAAGCTGAAAAGCAGAGCTCCAGTTCTCTCCAGCTTCTCATGTCACACAGGGACAATTCTCAGCAGTGTCCTGCAGTGCCACACACCACTCAGAATAGAGGTAATGCTCTGAGAGCTCACCTAATGCAGGTTAATTGGCTAAATGAACAGTGTCACCCACCTGGGGTTCATCAAACAGGCCAGTTCCATGGGGTCACATCAACAACCATCTGCATTGGCTCACTATGCATAACATAAATTGGGTTTCTGACAGCAAGAGCCTTTTAGGCAAAGCCTCCTATGTTTACTGATGGAGGAAAGTTATGAATCCCATCCATGGCATTTCTTAAGAAGAGTCACAGGGACCCATTCCCCAGATTTTTCATTTTCAGCTTTTCATACAGCAATGCAAAATGACACTTTGGAGGAAAGGGGCAGGAATAACAAGCTACATCTCTTTTGTCCCTTTTGACAATTACTGAAACCCACTGGCAAAATACCACTATTGAGCTGCCTCCAACCACGCACACACTCCCTGTTACTGCAAGATTACAAGTTGAGAGAGCAAAGCAAAGGGTGAAGGAACGAATGAAATCTGCTCTACAGCATCCATTCTCTCTTGGTTGTAAGCTCCTGGGGCATGATACATCGTCTTGTTCCACATTTGTATAGCAAACAAATCACCATACTGAGACAGAGCTGTGAATCCATCTCTCCCAGCACCTTGACATTGACAGAAGCCAGTAGGGGATTTTCAGGGGAAAAGCACAGGAAACAAGTCAAATCTAGTAGGTTTTCCCTAGACACACACTCGAATCTGAGGCAACCCATAGCTCAGACCTGTCACGCAGCAGACTTTGCAAGCAGACTATTGCCTTTAGTTGTCGCACGCTTTTCCTTAGTTTGTCTGGTCACTTCCTGAAATCATCGACACAAAAATCCCTGCAAAGGTCAAAAGTTTGCAGAAGCTTTACTATTTCACTTGAAATTGTAGAACAAGTACTTTGACATGGTGGTCTCCTGTGGCTGTACTGAGAAATGGTGGCTAACCATTGCCTTTCCACATTCTCCACAGTGAACATCTGTATGCCTGTACAGTATTATCCATCAACACCTGACTGAAAAATCCTATTAAAAAGTGAAAGAGGCCCCACATGTCTGATCATCTTTGTTGTCCCAATTCTACCTCTATAGTGCCAAACATGTTGGCCTTTGGTTATGACTAATTACAATATTGGCATTAAATGCACGACACTGCAATGCCATCAATGTGAACGCAGCGCGTAACTCTCCCTCAGCTTACCTTAGCACTGTTGCACGACTTCAGTGTTCAGGTCCAAAACACACAGCCCCAGCCTGACCTTGAAGGGGTTTACAACTCATTAGAGCTCCTGTTTCCTAGATTCAATCTCCCATAACATCAGAAGCGCGGCATTTGCACACATCAGAGGTACCTCAGCCTTGCCAGCGCTGAGCATGGATTCCCAATGAGATACTGTTTTGTTATAACCACCAAAGCTGTGGAGGGATTAAACACTTGAGATTTCTACCATTTCCCTCACTCTGCTGCATTCTTCCACTGGGTGAGGAGGACACTTCCTGGTTTATATTCTCAGAAGGTCATAAGTAATCAGGCAGAACATATCAGAGCTGAACCCTTCAGTCCTCAGCCCCACAGGACCTGTATTCCTTTCTCCCCTGCCAAGACTGTGCCCTAATCACTCCCCTTCTGTCCAGTCACTCCATGTATTAAATATCACCAGCCAGAAGGACTCTTGGTGGGCAGACCTGTCTGAATCCCACTACTAAATCTGTGAATCCAGACTTGCATTAATACAAAGCACCACCAATCCTGGTCAACTGGATTGAACTCACTGTAAATCATGAGATTTCTTTTTTTCCCCTATTGAACACAAGTGAAAATGCCCATACAACTTGAACAGTATGATTGTTGTTAGGTTTCACCTACCCACTAATGCATAATAAGCACCAACTTCAAGGTCAGCATAGCTGATCACAAGATTAAGCTATGAAACATCACTTCCACCAAAAAGCATGTTTCCATCAAAAGCACAGAGATGGACTGTGCCTAAAGATACCTGTAGGAGTAACTTCCATCTGTAAGAGCAAAACTGTCAGTAGCTATGTATCCAGAAAAACAGACTTTCCTTTTTTATTCCTCCTTAAGGCTTTCTTCCTCCTACTCCACAAAGCCCTGTGAGCCAGGCCAGCACATGCTCAAAGCAGGCAGAAAGCACAAGAGTGGTTCTGGCTGGCTGACACCCTTAGATGCCAGTACAGGGTGCTAACTGAAGTTCTGCAAAGAGAATACAGGCTTTCTCTTTGTCCTCCATGTGAGACACAGAATTCAGACTGCTATTTAGGTTGGCAAAAAACCAATGTCTTCTGCCAAACTGGCCAAGAAAGCTGTTCTGCAACAGGCCCAAGGTCATTCATGGCATAATCTATAAAGGAGCTGAAGGAACTTTATTTAGAGCCCAGAAGACTAGTGGTCTATTTATATTTCTAAATATACATTTAGAAGTGGAAGACTGATCCACACTTGGATTTCTCACAAAGCAGGTCTAGATTGAAAGCTTGCCTCTCAGGGAAGTTCGGGCAAATCAGCTGGATTTGTTTAGTTATTCTTAAACCAAATAAAAAAGCAGCTGTTGAGTGCTCTGCCTTTGAAAAATAAAAACACCCCAAGTTATGACCACACAACTTCTCTTTTCTGTAAGCAACTTCAGCAAACAGGCTGTCAAAGAGGAGCCTGCCAGGTCTGCACAGAGCTGCTCTGGAGAATTCACTTGGGAGGATACCAACTCATTTCTCCAAACTCAAACACAGCAGAGACACAGAGACCGAGTTCTCATACACTGAAACATGCCAAGTGGGGATTAACTCCCAAAGAAAATGTGTCACCACTAACCCTGTTCCCAGCTCAGCTGTTGCCAGCTCTAAAAGCTGGGTGATGGTTGTCCCAAATGCCACAAAAGTGCTCATCTCACCAAGCAAAAGCTGCATTCTGAGCTGTGAGCTACTGCAACAAGCAAGGGGCAACAGAACTGGGATTTTATCTTTCTAGAAAAATATATATTTAGTCACAAATATAATTTGTTTTGGAAATTTAAGCCATTATCTGAGAAACTGTGCAACATCCCAGGATAGGAAGGAGGTTTTCCTCATAAAAGTCCTTTTCTAACAACAACTTCTGTGCAGAACTATTTATGCAAGATATTGACAGTAAGGAAAGTCAAACAAGGAGATTCAGCAAAAGCAGATGAAGTGAATTGATCTGTTAGATGCCATTTGTGTGGGTTAACAAGAAAGGAGTAAAAGCAATTTCTTCCAGACTCTACTACGAACATGCCATCTCTCAGTATAGCACTTCCTGTATTAGGGCAAAGCCAGATTTTATATGCAGTTCAATAAAGAATGTCTCCTTCACTGCACAGGTAAAGCTTAAGTTGTTAAGCTTTAAGTCAGGGGAAAAGGGACTTCCTTTACAAGAGTGCCTCTGCAAGGACAGGGTTCTGTCTGCAGTCCTTTCTGCTCTGAAAATGCATATAGAGCTTTTGATCACTTTATGTCTACATTAAAGCCAATGCAAGCTTTGGTGGTGTGTGCTTGTTGAAGGGCGAGTAACGACAAATAAAGGCAGACTTTGCTGGGGATGTACAAGAGCCTGTATATCCTCTTACGCCCCTCTTCTCTCTCTCCTTCTTTCCCCAATACTAAGACATTTGCATGTCTTAGTTTTAATTGGTCTTTATCTAAAAGGGCTGTCATTTTAAGAGCTGCTTTTACTTAAAAAAACCCCAAACATAATGTAACTTGCACCATCCCCACTCCCCGCAGTTTGCAATAACTCTGTCATGAATATCTCTGCTTTCAGATTCAAGGGGGAATACATACATAACTTGGCATGAGTAAGAGGAAGTTTCATAGGGCATATAATGCAAGATCACAGCAAGCTTCTGGAATGAGGTTCTGTTACCCAACTAATTAGTGGCTCATCTTCTCAAATCAGAAACAGAAGCCTCAAAAGTCTCAGAGCAGCTGCAGCACCTCACCAAAACACATACTGATGCCCAATGTTAGATCTCGGGAGGAAAAGGTGTCATAAACAACGGGTGCAGGCAAAACTCTGCTGTGTGAGTTTCTCATCAACTTAGAGCCATGTGTATGTTTGAAAGTAATTTCCAGATGCTGCTGCCAAGACTCGTTTTTCAGCCCAATTGCAAGCACAAGTCAATAGTAAATTTCAAGAACCACAGCAAGCACGAAAGACCTTCAGAAAACAGTCTGTTAATCAACAAAGCTTTTTCTTCCCCAACCCCAGAAATGCAATCTCAAAACTGTTCATCCACACCTGAACAGCAGTTGCAACAGAAAAACTCTGTGGCATTTCTCCTGTTAGTGGATTAAAAGACTGTGATAAGGGTTAAGTCAAACAATGCTTCCAAAGGTAATGAAAAATAGAAACAGGGTATTAAAAAATCAAGTCTGATTATAAAATAATTTGGTTACTTTACCCTGAGGGCAGGAAAACTTTTCTCTTGCTGAAAGAGCTGTCTGGGCATATTTGGCAGATCACACATTCAACATATACAAGCATTGCTATTTTTTGGTAATTCTTAAAAACCAAGAAACCAGCACAGCCAGAAAATCAGAGTTGTGTAAGGCCAAGTCACAGGTGCTGCTGGCCTGCAAGGCACAGCTCCCTGCCCTTCCTCATCTGGACGTTGTTAGGTTTCTGCTTCTCCTGGATCTACAAGCCTAGATCCACAAGTCATCACAAAGTGGCCTTTCAAGAAGGTCGTTGTCACATGGGTGTGTTCAAATGCTACTTTGCCGTGTTGGACTGGGAAGAACTGAGGACTGCACTAAGCCATGTACAAGTGAAGAGTGCCCACTGTTTAACTGGGCTCTTCACTAAGATGGCTAGATTTAACTCAAACAAGAGTAAATGGAAACAGCTTAAGAAGTTTTGACTTCTTGTAGACAAGACTCACAGTATGGACTGACAGTCCCATAAGGCAGAAATAACAGCACTACCTCAAAAATCTATAGTGCTGTGTCTAGAGTGAGGAAGAAGTTCCAGTGCAGCATCCACAACAGTGAGAATTTGCTTTTAATAGCATCAGTAATCCACTACAAAAGTTGATTTACAGGTTCAAATTATAAAACAGTTTAACACATCACAAGCACCATGCAAATACTCAGCTATTTTAAAAGTGCATCTGTAACCAAGCTTCCCTGTAGTGCACAAACAGGCCTTATATTGATAACTGTAATAATCACAGTGCAAATATAAAGGTGCTAAGTCTTTGGGAAAGCTTAATTTTTAACAAATTGTGGCCTGGTAATAGTGATTGTCCTAAAATTGCAACTATATATTTTTTCATTGTGCCTAGAAGCTGCTATTTTCAGTTTAACTTCATCATCTTTAAAATTACTGTTCACGTTTTATAGATGTACATACATCGCTTGGAGCTAGACTTGAATGCTCATCCTGAACAGTAGTAAGCTAAATAAAAGCCTATTATCAGTTCACATGGCTAGCCATGGCTCTGGCAACATCAACACATAGAACTGAAGGGTCATAGACACAGCTCCTGTCCCTTTCCCCCACCCCTTCCTGAGGACTGGTGCCACAGAGTCAGAGATCAAGCACAGGAGGTAGGGTTGCTGTGAGGAAGCACAGGGCTGCTATCTATCCTGCACCTGCTCTGCAAATAGAAAGAGGACTATGATGTTGAATGCTACTAGGTGACATACCCAGGAGCCTTTATTTCAACTGTTTAGCTCCAGCTTCATCTGAAGCTGTACTTACTTCCAGAGGACTTCCAGCTGCAGCTTGATGGTTCCCAGTTCAGTTATGTCCACAATGATTGCCTGAGGCTTGGTTGTAAAGAAGTTTATGCTGTCACATGTCACGACACCAACTAGAATAGTGGCCAGTCCTCGCAGCTCTGTCACCTGCACGAACAGACACATCTGTTTTCATCTTACCAGACAATCCTCAATCACGTACATGGAAAGAACAACACTCCAGGCTCAGATATGCCCCGAGGCCCACAGCAAACTTAAAACCTTAATATTCAGTTTTGGGCTCCTAAACTGTTCAGAGCCAGTATCCCCACAAGGAACATGTTGTAGATGGCCGGCAAAAAGGAGAGAAGTTCTACAAGTTGGGGAGACAGAGCTGTACAGCAAGTCTGACAACAGGATTTGGCAAACTATGATTTAAGAAAAATTAAGTCTGAAGTTTGGAAATTCTAGCTATGGTATACATACAAGTAATTGTTATCAGTACAGAGTCTAGCTTGTCTACATACTGTAACAACACTGTCATAAAGGTCTGTATTACAGAGAAGTATACTATCCTACCTACACTAGACTATGTCAGCTCTCAGTTGCTAAAGGATCTGCATCCACTGTGACCTTTCTGGTTGTCCTGAACTCAGCTGTGTGCCAAAATCAGAACTGTGGCAGTTCTTTCCTCTGTCTCTGCAGGTGGCTCTGAGTTTGTTATCAATGCATTTGCAAACCTGCATTTTCCCCAGGCTGGCACTTTGCTTCTTCGCTACTTAAAAAAAAACCCAAGACAAATCTAATCAAACACTTGCTGAGTTCCACACACTTCCAATGCAGATCAAATTGTTCTAGAAGCACATAAATCAGACTCAGCACAGAGTTTTAGAAAAAGTGCCTGAAGTCCACTTCAGGAATTAGTTACATGCCTGTATCTCCTTTAAGATTGAGCAGAATTATATTGCCAGGCTCCTCTTGGAACACCCTTTGGCACTTCTCAATTTTATTTTTTAATTTTAAGCCTGCTATGTATTTGTACTGGGCAGAGATGATTAAGTACAAAGTGGAAAGAGCAGGAGAGTGTGGAGAACATTAGTCAGCTTAAGAAGGTCTTTTCATAAGCTGACAAAAAGAATAAAGCTATCATTGTCACACAAAGTAATACAAGGTTTTACAGCTATTATGGGAAAACAGGGATCTGAATTAGCCTCTCACCTGATATTCATTGTGCAGTGGCAGCAAAAAAATGCATTATAAGTACATTTCCAAAGGCTGTGAGGGCAAGATGCCAAAGAGTCTCTCCTATGTAACCCAGTTTTGCTGCCAGATTGGAGGGGAACATTGCAATAGCTGCTTTAACACAGCTGCCAAAACTTGAAGCGCTGCACTGGCACAAGTTTCCTGGTAGAACAGGATCCAGCACAGCCTTCGATCGCAGCTCCTTTTAGGTTGACAGGAGTCATGTTGCAGTGTCCAGCCCGCAAGAGATTGCCAGACTACAGTGGCAATGCTGTTTAAGGATTAACTCCTGCTAGGTAAGTGCCAGAACCAATGCCAAGGGCAGCTGCACAAGAGTCTATGAAAACTACATACTTCACTCAAGGGGTACCCACAATGTGTCACCTACATATCACAGGCCATTGGCACCGGTCCCTTACTATTGAGGATATGACTTTTCTGAGGCACTTCAGAAAAAAAAAAAAGCAGCAGAACTCTAAAAGATATCAAGTACAGACTGTTTGTGCCAGTATATAACTGCCATTGGTTCTTCACAGATACAGAGCATCTCTGGAGCAAAACACAACAAAAGAATCCGCATTGCCCTCAGATAAAGGGCCATTTGAACTACAGAGACAAAACATGCACACGTGCGATGATGTTTTCCATATACACAATTCTCTCAACAGAGAACAGAACCCCAGGCAGTTAATATTCCACATGGGATATTAAATAACAACTACATACACAACTTTTTGTCTCCACATCTAGACTTCACCCTAGAAAATCCCAGATATCGATCTAGGACATAAAAACAAGCCAACAGTACACAACAAACATGCACAACCGAGCACATATACCAAACTCCACAACACAGGAAAGCAGATGCACCAATACAGTAACAAGTGCCAAGAAAAACAGAAGTAGATGTCTCTTCAGTAGGCAGAACATTGCTTAACTGCCATTTTACCTGGCTAGGAAAAGAAAACTACTTCAGAGTTTTGAAAAGTGCTTGGCAGCCTAACAGGTAAGTTGTATGGCAGAAGACCTGTCAACCCACTGGTTCCAATCCAACCATTATACACCACACCTTGATTTCAAACTTCTCATGGAGATTGGGTATAAAAATCTTTTCTTCCTCATCCCATGTCTGGCTGTCATCAGTCTCAATCTTGCCTTTCAACCTCCATTTTTGGCGTCCCAGTCGCACAAACACCTAGAAACCACCAAAGAAAAAAAGGATGTTGGGTCAACATATTCCAGAATGTTCCCTTCAGTCCACAGGGCTCACACTGTTCCAGTACTGCAGAAGTGAAGCCATTCCTTTGATCACTATACGTTTAGGAACTTGGATAGAGCTAGAAAATTGGATGTAGAAATTCAGGTTGCAGGTTTTAACACCTTAACTCAGTACCAAATGACATGTCCCACCCATTCTAGAACAACTGCAAAGCTATGTTGCATAGTAAGTGTAGGGGTGCTAAAATAAAATGCACACTGGAATTCATTTGGGACTGTTAGAAGTAGGAAAGCAACCAAGTAAGATCCCAGGATGCATTCAAACCATGCCAAGGGCAACCTTCCAAGAAACAGACAGCAACTGTTACTTGATTCCAGGGCAACTTTGAAGACAAAGACCTGACAGGTTGGCTTTGATAGTCAATCACTGCAGTCTTTTAAACCCTCTCATAACAGTTGAATCACATCTTTCCCTCTTCAGTCTCAGGGAGCAGAGTAACTAGTGACTGTGCTAAAGCACTGTTCTTACCGGAACAGTGCAGTTTTATCACAGTCCACTTCCTGCTTGTCTTATACATGTTGCCCCTTTGCTCTCCTGTTCCTCCACTGCAAACTCACAGTAGTAAAATAAAGGACAAAATGAATTGCTGTATACTGCACCTCATACTGGTCCCCCGGGCAGAGACGTGCAAAGCCCACCAACCCTGAAAAGAGAAGGAAAACTCCAATACTTGTAGAGTTTCACAATGTCCCCCAAAGCCTCAGCTTGCAATAAATACAGCAACTATCTGGCTAACACCCCCATGTCCTTAACTCTGTGCAGAAGCTATGCCACTGGCCCAAAATACTCTTAGAAGGGCAAACATTAATTGAGTTAAGGAAAGAAAGCTTGTCAGCTTTTGTACTCAAGTATAGATACCACTGCAGATCTGGTTTATAGCACTAAAGCAAACAGAAGTTTTACAAAGTTCTGTTAAGGGTCTCATCCAGAAAGCCAGTGGAAGCAACTGCCACTGAGTAAATGTACTCTCAGTGGATCAGATTGTTACACAGGAAACCCCAAATCAACTGATGAGTCTTGAAAGAAACAAGAATGAACATACCTTTCATCTTCAAGTGAAACTCTCCCAAATGGACCTCCAATGCCCCTTCTATAAAGCACATGTCCTAGAAGAAGGAATGAACAGTCACTATGACTGAAAAGCAGCACAAAGTAGCTACCCTCCTATAAAGGCTATTTTCTTTTAAGGACTTCTTTTTTTCTTAAATGACACACTAACATCTTCACTACGGGAGACTGATAAAAAGTCCATCCATACTACTTTTAAGATAGAAAATCATGATGCTGCTCCACAGAAGAATGTAATTATTTAAGCAGTTCACGTTATTTTCCACTACTTGTTTTGTAAAAATAGCACAGCATATTCATGATCCATTTCTCATCTCATTACTTCCAGTGGAACTCACAGTGGACCCCAGTATTAAAGCAGAAATTCAAAGGATTTTTCACTTGTCTTTGCCAATGCATGAAGCCAGGCTGAGCTGGGGCAAAAAAGAGAGGCATAGAATTCAAGAGCCTTCCTGTAAGGTATTTATTTACCTCACAAGCTTCAGTTCACATTATGTACCTGTAATTTATTTACAGGTTAAGTTTTCAACCTGCACCATTAAAAAGAAAGGCAGCATTAAGTCCTAGTACATTTTTTGCTAATGAACAGTCAGTTCTTTGTTACATGTCTATAGTATTCCCTACCTCTGTGCACTCTTGGAAGTTCTTGTAAAGCTCCACCAGACTCTCTCTGGAAGCTTTGGTGGAAGGAGACAAGGAAAAGGCATGTTTCATATTCGCCGCCCCATCTCGTAGCCTGCACTGGATACAGTAAGCTTCATAAAGTTCTTCTACCTGTAAGATTTGGAGGGTAGGGGAAGAATGAACAAGAATTACCCCAGCATAGTTACTATATGTTTTGGAAAGGAACATCAGCAGTCTTCCCCAGCAAAAAATCCAACCAAATCCCACTATCATAGTATTGCACAATGCTGCAGCTCCTGCATTTTACAGACTGATTAGAGTGCTACAGTTTGTAGACATTCCTGCACAAAATCATGGGATATTGAGAAGCAACTAGCTCTGCTGTTATCAGACTAGAAAACAAGGAGTAGACTAACAATTCATTCAGGGGAACATTGCTTGGAGAGCAGGAAACCAATTCTGTCAATACAGATTAAAACACCTACAGCTGTGTCAGTGAAGAGATTTCATTCCTTTAGAAGCAGAGGGCAGACAGCAGACATTCACTCTACAGAACTGCTGGTTTGGCCCCTTGTGAGGAGGGAGGAGAACACGCAAGTCTCCTCACAGCAGCATTTTCTGAATAAACTGGCAGGGTATACAAACTGGTTTCACAGCCAAACTCAGGCTGGGTTGCACCCAATGTTCAGCCTGAATAGAACCATTCAAGAAAGTAAATAAATAAAACTCCCCTCCTCCTGTAAAAAGAGTGGTTACAGCTTTCAGAAAGTCCCAGCATTATTCCCCTTCAGGTGAATTAAAATATTTTCTGTTTAGATGGTTTTCTTACATAGCAGTGTAAGATATAAACCTCCCCTTACCTTGCTTATGTGAAACTCCAGTTTTCTGATGTACCTCTCCACAGAACGGATTTGCTTTTGAAAAGGGGAGAGAGATGGGGGGTGTCTTGAGAAATTATTTCCTAAACATGCCTTTAAATAACAGAGTAGACACATCATCCGTTTTTCTCTGTCTGCAACATTTCATCTCATCCTCAATAGTCTTACCTTATCCAGGTCATAGTAGAAAGCCTGAAAGGGAAATAGCACAGGTTGAACAGGAGAGCATGTATATTTGTACCTATTAACGATACTTTCATATTGACTACAAGACTCACAAGGCACATCTGAAGTTACACTAAATTAAGATGCATTGTTTCCTACAAGGAGACAGGACAACATTTTTAGAAGTAGTTTCATTTTCTGTGCATGGCTGGTTGGTTTGTTTTTACAGATGCTTTAAATGGGAGAGTAAGAGTCTGGCCACCAGCTATAACAAGGACTTGGACATTGGTGATGGTAAATGGGAATTTGTGATTTTGATTTTTTATTTTTTTTAATCTAGTTATTATTTCCCAAAGGAAAAGCAAAGTTGAATGTGTGAGTTGTCTTTCCATTGCAACTGTCGCTGAACATACTTCCAGGTTGTTGTGAACACAAGAGAATGAAAGACACATTCACCAGCTATGGGAAACAAAGCCTGATCTTTATCACCATTTCTGTCCATAGTCAGTTCCTGGAGTCCCAGGTGTGAGAGAACATCTATTTTTGTGATTTTATTTTTAAAGTCATTTTAATATTTAACATTAAAAGCATCTTACCAATCTGGAGTTTCTTTTCGTATCTTTGTGTCGACCAGAGAGATAATCCAATTCAGCCTGATGTGCTTCCAAATATTCACTGGAGAGGAATAAAACCCAGTGTCACATTCTTCTTCTGGTACCTTCATTATAACATCTCCCCAAATAATTTTTCAGCATAATGCTAAAGCAGCTTCCTTTGTTAGAAGACTTCTCTTTATTTACTCTCTAGAGATATGAATGGCTATATAAAGGAATATGGCTCAGCAGACAAGAAAGGACAAGTATTTGTCTATGGAAATCACCCTAAACGCAAAGTCACTCCTCAAGGAGTATCTGTACACAATGAGTGCCAGAAGATGCTGGTTACTTGTTACCTAACATTAGGAATCTCCCTCAATCCTTTTTACTCCTCCAAGATGTGGGATGCTACAGTGCAATTAAAGAAGGCCACCAACTCCATCCTACAAAGTCAAAGAACTGCAACAGGAAACACTTGCACTACCAAACCAAGCTCACTGAAGTACTCCATGTGTAAGGCAGGACACATGCCATTCAATGTTTTAGCAAACAGAGCTGAATAGCACCTTTTAGTACATGAGACAATTTCTTAATGTAGCCATTACATTTTCCAGAATTAGAACTATTGTGCAAGGTGTGAAGCACCTGGCGCCAGTTGGCTTCTAGAGCTGCTTGCAAGCAAGGATTGTCCCTTAGGAATTCACACAGGGACTTAACTTATTTCTGCTGAGACCATCTTCTTCCAACTTTTCTTTTAATACAGGACACACTTGTGTAACTCTTCCCTCTTCTGCTTAAAAGGGAAAAAGAGTCACCTGGCAAATACTACATTCTAAGACACAGTCTCCGAGGAGTCAAAATAACTTCATTTTAGACAACTGCATTTCTTCACATTTGCTTTGATGCATTTAATTCTTACTGTTTAAAACCAACTCCCCAAGACATCCGGTGGCTCCAGCATTGAGTTGTCTGCTCTTTACACTTGCCTGTTAACAGCTCAGTGCAGAAGTAGCCAAGGCTGGTAGCAGAACAGAATTCACTTACCTTTTAGAAAAGCTTCATCACTTTTAGATGTAAGTATGTTAGAATTGCCAGCTTGATTAAATGGTACCCAGATGGTTAACAGAAGAGTTATTTTCTACAGCTATAAAGAAACAGGCACGTAAAACATGCTCTGTACTAAAAATTCAAGTCACTCCAGCACCAAGTGGACTCAGTCTGCATCTACTTAAAATTTGGACTTAGCATTGCTATTTGATACAGTTGTTTTCTGTAGGTTAGTCAATTAGCTAGCTCCTCAGTTTTGGCAGGAATCTGACCATGTGGCATTCACTGCAGAACTAGGAACAAATTCTGATTCACTTTATGGTTTTTCCTCCCTAAGCTCTGATAAATTCTAAACCCTGCTAAATTATTTGGTTTCATTATTTGATTTAAATCTAAATCCACTAATAAGACATTGATTGATACTTTTAGGGCTAAGACTTTATAGCCTTTTATCAGAATAAAAATGTGACACATTTGAGTTTACAATCTATTATTACAGCGTGTTTCATGTTCTTTGCTTAAGAAAACAAACCATGATCAGAATTAATACAGTAGCAAACTTCTGAGGACAGCAGTAACATACATGAAGGAACTGTTAGTAGGATGCCAGCAGAAAGAGCTACAGGGTTTACAAATCCAAGGAAAGGTATTTTATTTTCCCACAGGTACTCCAGGGTGTAAATATTCCTACAATATTAGACCAGATCCATCAACATCAACTGTAATGACGCAAAACGTGTGTTTTTACATAAAAAGATTTGAGGACTCAGTTAAAGGTTGATGAGTTTCGAGCACTGATGGAAGCAAACAGCACTTACCACACTTCCTTCCTGGTCCATAATAGCTGCCATTTCAGCACTGAATAATATCAGCATTTCTATGAGGTAACTGACAGCTTCCCCAAAGCTAGATTACCCTAAATTCAGACTGCCAGCCCATCCTTTGACCCCTACTGTGTCTGCTGCATGCATCCACTTCTGCCAGATGGGAGACAATGGACAAAACTGGTCTTTAGCCTTTTCACTGAAGTCTGTACTGATGCAATATTGGCTGTGCAGTCAACCATAAGAGAGTCTGAAACAGTTCTACATTTAAAGCAAGATAATGTTATTTACATTGCCATAAGAAAATGGAGTTATACTACAGCTCTGTTTCATCACCTCAAGTCAGCTGAAGTTTTCAGGTGGATCTGCTCAGACCTTTCCCTTACAACAAGCCACACAGAGATGAAAGAGTGCTTGTGAACTCCAAAGCTGAAGTCTATTAAAATTAAAAAAAAAACCCACCAAACCCAAACAAACAAAAATAACCCAACCCACAAGAATATCTAGCTCTAATTAGCACAGGGAGAACAGGAACAGTTTATGAACCAACCTCCCCACTGTGCCCTTGCAAGACACACCCTCACTTTCAGACTTGGTTTTAAGTCAGCTTTTTGAGCCAAAGCAGTTCCACACAGTTCCCTCTCCAGAAGCATTCTGCCAATCACCCCCCAGATCTGGCTCTCCCATCCCTATCCAAGTCTCTCCTTGATCTGCAGACTTCCTGCCTGCCACCCTGTGTGCTCTGAAAGCCTCCCTTCCTCGAGGGAGAGCTCAGTTGCTCCCCAAGAGATGGGGAATCTCCCCACAGAGTTTGATCTGTCACTGACTTTTCAGAGAAGTGTAACAAACTAGGAACAAACAAGAACATCAGAGCACTTTGTTTGCAAGCAGACTGTCTGAGAGTGAATGAAACTTGTTTTACAAGGTCCCAAGCCAGTGTCTGGGAAAGTCATTACATTTGTTTAGAGACGGAGACAGAGAACAGTGATAAACAGACTTAAGCAGCATGTCTGGATAAGGCAAATTACAATATTCGAAAAGTCCTTACTTAAGTCCTTTCTTCAAAGCTTCAAAAATTTTCTTCACCTGCAGTGGCTTTGGATCCCAGATGACTGCCCCTTTCTGCAGGGAGTTATAAGCCTTGGGGGATTTCAGTGACATTCTTGATCTCACTGAACTTCTGCCGAGAGACTTCCTGTAGAAAGAGAAAAGAAATACGGGAAAGATACAAACTCCATTACCTGGGAGAAGAGACACCTATCCCACAAGGCTTCCAGGCTACAAGTTGTATGTCCAGTCCCATATACCTTGACTCAAAAGAACAAAGTTCTTGGACACACCGAGAAACCTTTCACAGATACATTAGAAAGTTAAGGCCCAGCCCTAAATACGTAGTGCAGAAAAGCTGCAAGCTTTCTGTGGCTTCAATAATAATCATTTCAATAAGAAACCTCTCCTTCTCCAAGCTTGATGCAGACTCCCGAGAGCCTACTGGTTCTCCTTTATCCTTTTTAAATAAAGAATAGTCATGCATATTCCTATTTCTTCAGTACGGAGGAGGGGAACAGAGCAAACAAAAGAAAAGCTCATTTTTATAATGGTTAATAACAAGTTAATGTTCATACTGATAGCAAACATCTTAACAGACACACATGGAAGCTAGCTAAGGCCCTGTTTCTGCATGCACATTCACACCAGCTATTGGGTCAATGATAGAACTAGTCAAGCAAGCCTTGCTGCAGGACAAGGACATTCCCATTCTGCACCTCTCAAGCATAGAGACCTACAAATCAGGAAAACAAGGCAATAAACTTTTGATCTGCTCCAGGTCTAACTGATAAAGCTAACATAAAAAGCCTTTAGAAATAGCTATTTCTTTGCCTGCATTCACCATCCATTTAAATGATGGCTTAGAGCCCTACCACATTTTAGGAAAGCAAGCTACCAAGCCCAGATTGCATACAAGACATGATAATCCAGACTGCATACAAGATACAATTATCAAGGTGTTTTTTCAGTGTCTAACACCTCACTTCCTTTCAAATCAACTGCAAAACCAAAACTAAGTATTGTTTCTAACAGAAGTCCCATGCACAGGATTTTCTGTACTAACCTAAAGAGCTAAAACACCCCAAGCCATTAGTTCTATACATCTACAACATTTAAACCAAAAAATAAATAAGCTCTCTACAAATAGTTCTTTCATATTACCAGATTCCTGCCTGGCTTATCTCTATATATACACTTCTCTAGGTCTATAGCTATTTTTATTTAGATTTACTAATACTCTCTGTAAGTCAAGCCTCTAAAATAACATTACCTAAAGAAGTTTCCCATTCCACCAAGCCAACTGGTTGCTCGTAGAGAAGTTTTCCACCTTCTCTACAATCTCCACCCTAAATTCAGCTCACCTGAAGAAATGATGAACTTCAACCAGCTTAATACTTTGCCACTGGCTGTTTTAAGTTCTAAGCATGTGACTGAAGGCCTAAGGATATTGAGCTTGGTGATTAAATCCTAGGCCCAGCACACCTGAGAGCAATCCCCAGTCCTGTTACAGAAACCTTCGAGTAACCACGTTAATTACCTTGGTGCTACATTTCCACTTAACTCCATTTTTAACATACAGTCTGCCAAAAAATCTGATAAAATTAGGGGTTGCCAAACATTACTGGACATTTAATATCTTCACCCTGGTGATTATCTTAGTTTTTATGATGGCTGATGTAAAGCATTAATTAACCAAACCATTTGGAGCTCAGGTTACCTATAATGAGGAACATAGCTGTTAAGTTAGAAACCTACATTGTTTTCATTGAGTATTCCATGCAAAGCAAGAGGGTTTCAACAGGAATAACACTGGAAGGGACAGTCTAGCCAATAACAGCAGTTGAAAGAGTCTTCTAGAAGGATTATCACTTAAGATTCTTTCATGCAAAGAAGGAAATAGCATTCAGTTCCATGCTTTAGATGAGTACACTATTTAGCAAGATATCATATGGAAGATATAATTTTTAAGATTATATATAAAATAATTTCTTTTGAAATTAAAAAGACCAAATTACTCCTGGGTTTTGTTTATTTTTGCAAAGGAAAGGATTTTGATATTTACCTTCAGAGTTTTGGAAAGCTAATCTTAAATTCAGGAAATCATTTCCTTCAGCTGAAAGTATAGCACGTGAGCACAGATAGGTTGGGATTTAAAAGTTACCATTTTCCTCAGTATCTCCTACTGACTGATGTAGTCCATACATTACTCAGTGCACTGATGTTAAGAATCCCATTTTCATACATTTCCTAGAAAAGTGAAGTGGCTGACAAAGGCCTTTAGGGACAGTAGCTAAAAGCTAGATGTTATGCTGCTGCTTTCCCTTGTGAACTTAATAATTTAAGTATCAGATTTCCCACTTTATAGATAACAGTAATAACATTTGCTTCCTGTAGAGACCATTGTAAGGAAAAATGAAATAGTGTGTCTGACTGAGAGCCTCAAAAGGAAATTGCTAAAGAAATACAAAAGTATATTTAGCATCTGCTTAAGAATCATCTCCATGTGGACCTGATTTGTGTGTCATCCTTTGGACAGATCTTGCATAGGGCCCCTGCAATCTCCTGCTGTGTTTTGCAACAGTGCCTGAAGGAGAGATAAGTTAGGAATGGGTGATTAAAAAATTTCTTCACTATGCTGGTAAAGGCTCTTGGGTGTTCACTGGGCTGTGACTGAGCATTTAGTACACAAATTTTCCTTATTGTGGTGATTCCTGAACAAAACTGTCTGTCTAAACACTGAAATAATGAAAAAAGCAACATCACAAACCAAAATGTGCAGACAGGCATTCTGCAGCTAAAAGCAACAGAATAATCTTAAGGGATATATGAACTCTTCTGTTAGGAGCATTCTTACCCTGCTGGACTGTGCCTTTGTTGGAGAAATAGCTGTTCAACAGTTTTCCTGGTAAATCCTTTCCCTGCTGGAACTCCCACTATGGACTTAAGCTCAAGTCTGTTTCTATAATTTAATGTCAGTGTTTTTCTCAAGATCTTAGCAATTGGTGTGGTTTAGATGTGCAAACTTTGCTAGGTGTAATATTATCTTTCAGCTTCCACAATAAATTCATTTATTCAAATGTGAAGATTTCTTGATCGCATCACAACCATGCTGGAATTGCATTTTTGCTCAAGCTTTACCATGCTATGTTTAGCTGAAAGTTTAATTCAGTTCTTTGGTTCTTTGAAAAGATATTTTATGACATGAGTCAGGTATTTTACTGGCACACAATAGGATTTTTTCGAGCAGAATACTTCTAGAAATATACTTTCCAATACTTCTATATGATACTGCTAAATGATTCATTTTGTTATTATTCTAGCATGCATTGGCAGTCAGAGATTATATTCATTTTCCATTTATATGTCATATCTTTTAAAAGCACTTGACAGGCTATAGAGGGATCAGAAAAAGAACAAGAGCACTTCTAGTGGAAAAGCTGCAGTTATCTACATAGAGCAGTGCTGCACAACAAGTTATGATAAGCAAAAAGGGAAGAACAGTGCAGGATAGTTTAACAATTACGAAGCTCGACTGAAGACTGAAAGACTGGACTGTAACCTTGGCTATACTACAGACCTGTTACTGATAGCAGTAAATTTGCAGTGGTCGTCTTGGCCTCTAATACTGCTCCCTTCCTCTCTTTTGTGGCATTGCCAGGAAGCAGCCCTTCCTCTCATGTAATGCTGCGCTGCTTAAATAACTCCAGGCAAACTTGAGTTGGGTTCATTACATAATTTGCCAGGATTCACCATTAACATCCACATCTTTGTAAAAGTCTATGAGATTTTTAATTACCATAACTATTCCCAAGGTTTTAGTCAAAAAGCATCAGTTACAACTGGGCTGCTAGCAGGAAGGGTCACAGCCCTTCATTTTTCTAGAATAAATGGACACTATTAATACTGTGATATGTAGCCTCCAAATCCAAGCCGTCTCTGGAGTACAGTGTGTATAGTAGTAAGATAGTGAGGTGGGAAGTACAGCTATTTATCAGTGAGCCATGACAACACTCAACAGTTTTAAGATAAAAATGAAGGAACAACTTCTACACATAGATACCTTAGGTTTAAACAATACATTCACAGCCCCTAATGTCTGTTGCCCAGACAATCAGGTGCTTTACTTTTTGTGTTACTTACGCCAGTTTTCTGCTTTGCACAGTGCTGAAGCCAGTGAAGGAACAACTCCTGCTGATACCACCCCCATCACCAGGGGACACAAATGTGAGTTTGACCGACATGATTGCCAGTCAGTAACTGTCAGCTTCTGAAAGAAACAGAAAAACAGATGAGTCAAAACATTCCTGGCAGTCCAGGCTTGCGCTGCTGCAAGTGTTGAGCTGCATGGAAGTAGAAAGCCAGACCAACAGACAATAGATTAAATAGAAAAACAAGACCTGTCTGGTATACACGTTTCCTCTGTTGCCATCCACAATACAATTAATAAGGGACTGAATAGTCTAAAATGAAATCTCTTATGCCCTCTTCAATTTCTGATTGATTTTACAAACTCACTATGTAAAAGCCAGATTAGCCTCAATTCACAGGCTCTCTACATTTCTGTAATTGTCCCACTGCTTAAGGAGTTCAGGCCAACCAATATATTTCCAAATCATTATGGATGCCAGCACAATACTTAAGCTCCAGACTCAGCCAGGTCCACAAAGCAGTTCCTTGCATCCGTGCAGACCCACACTGAAGTCAATGTAGAATTGGCTGAGCGTGGTACTTAAGCCCAAGGCAGAAGTCTGGTTTCGACAGTAAATTTCAGGTTCATACTCCTCATCTGGCAGGATTGCTCTTGGATTGTTCTCCTCTGTTTTCCATCAGTCAAAATCTTTCGCTTTCTGGAGAATTGTGTTCTCTGCCATATGTCTATAGAATCCAACTTAGAATATAAGTAACAGACATATCCTTCAAAGCAGCTGTAGAAAATCACCCAGACAGTTAATACACAGAAAAAGTCCCTTCCTTCCCCCCTCAAGCTGGTGTAATGTAAACACCACAACTGAGTAAAACTAAGTAAAACAAAAAGCTGGAGTATCTATTTGTAGAGAGAAGCGCAAACTGCAGTGAAGAGCTCTACATGATCCACGCAAAATGTCCTACATTACAGAATGTGCTCTGCGAAACAGTGAGCTCCTAATCTATCACAGTAGATACTGGAAAGAAAACCCATACTCAGCCCCTGTGCCTGACATTATCCCATCAGTATGGCTACAATTAGTCAGACTAGAAGCCCAGAAATGTCAAAATGTCAAGATAAGACTTTTCTCCCAGCTCTGCCACTAACTTCAGAGCAACCTAACTCAATACTCCTCCAGACTGCATACAAAGAACTGTATGGTTATATGTACCTCCCAAGAGGGGTGAGATTTGAGAGTGTTTTGGTAATTCTGGGCTAGTCTACAAGTACAGGGAATTACTGTAAGTGACTATGCTTTAGGTATCATTATCTACCAAAGTAGTAACAGAAGTTGTCATGGATTTCCACAAGCAGCAATCCTGCAGTGAGAGCCGACTATTTCATTAGTTCCCTGGGCTGAGGCCTAAGACTCCATTGCTCTACAGGCTGTGCCAACCTCACAAATCCATCTGTGAAAAACAGGCAAAATATTTGAGAGAAAGATGTAAAAATAGTAGATCTGAGCCAGCTACCTGCTTTGCAAGCTACCTGCTTTGCAAGCTACCTGGTTGTCAAAAGAGGCGCTGTGCATGGCTAGGTATTTTGTACCTCAGTGCATCGAAATCCACGTAACTCCATAGCTTCAGTAGTATCAATGGCAATCTTACATGGAAAAAACTAGGTGCATCTTAATCACCTTTTAAACAAGCTGTACAGCACTTATGTTCTCTTGCTTTGAACAGATGTCTCCTCAAAACCCTTAATCAGAGACTGCACTTGCATCATATCACAGCTGAAGTTTTGAAATCTTTTCCATTCTTTCCTCTAGTTTTCAGCTGCTTGTAAGCCTGTGAACAGTCACCCCATCAAAAGGATCATTAGACTGAAAAAAACATGCAACTTACTGAAAAATGTAATTGCATAACAAGCTGTTAAAGGAAGAAATACAGGGAATAGCCTCATGGTTATTGACCACATCCCTCATCAAGGCTAAGCCAGATTCCCAGGATCTATTTGTCAGTTCTTTAACCTGGGAAAGTAAGTTCATGAGTAAAAGTGAGGAAGAAAGTGCAGGAAAAGCTTTACCAATTTACAGGACTCCTAAAGCCTGCATAGCACAAGACTGACAGCCTTTGAAGTGTGTAGGTATGGAACAAACAAAAAGAGGTGGACCCTTGACAGGCTGAGAAAGTGGAAAATGACGAGAAGAGTCCTGAGGTAAAAATCTGTGGTACAGAGCTCTAGATGTGAAAAATTAGGTTGGAAATGTACAGACCCCGAAAACTCAGTTGGTGAAAGAAATAAATGTCTTAGATTGCCTAGACTTGATCCTGTTACACGCATGTTTTCATAAAGCAGATAGAATTCTTCAAGAAGATGTGCTGTTACAAATGAGAGGTGAACTGGACCGCACTTGCACACAGCCATAAGCATTTAAAAATTCTCATGGGACGTTAGTTGAACTGCACAATGCTCAGGCCTCAAGGCCACTGACCGTGTCATGTCCTGCTGTAGCTACTTCCAAAAGCAATTCATAAGCACATTTTCACATTTCCCTCTTGTAAGTATGAAGAGAATTTAAATAACGTTAGGAAAGCACCATTAAAGGGCTTATCTTTCTTTCTTTGAAAGAATGGGGATGAAGTCAAATACCACTTGTATGTTTTTTTTTGTAGCAACCTAGAAATCCTACAGCTCACTTCACACTTCTGAGCAAAAGACCATAAGTAGGATGTCAAGACAACATTTTATTTGTAAGAAAGATTTATAAATGCAGTTGTTTAAACAGAGTGGTTTGCTAGCCAGAGTGTCTGTACAAAAGTGTTGAGCTATGTTACAACTGCTCCTGAGAAAAAGCATCTGGACACATCTCAAATTCAACTCTCCCTTTAGGCTAGAAATAAATCAGGTAAGGACCTCCGACAAAGCTGAGTTCAGATCTGTCTTCAAACCTGCAACCTCTGCTGTGCAGGGCAGTGTCTCCAAATCTCATAAATACAGGGATTATACCCAGGGGAGCAGAAGAACTTCCTCTCTTTTAATCTTCCCCAAAGCACAGTGTGAATATGGTAGCTAGCACAGCTGGCATCTGGAGAGCGCAAAAATACCAGGCCAAACTGAAGGAGTCTGTTGCTGGGGCAAGAGAAACACTGAACTACTGATAAAAACAAGAGGAGTCTTGAAAAAGTCTTATAAAGCTTGTGGGTCTCAAACAGATCTCCAAACTGCCAGGTACTAATCGACTCACGTTTTAATACAAAGGATTTTGTAAGACTGAGACTTCAGGTCACAGAAATGTATTTCTAATACAAATCAAATGAGCATTTTTTTCAAATTAAAAGCGTATGTTTGTCCCTGTTTCAGTGATTTGCCATACAAAACTATCAGCATTTAACCTGCAGTGTTACCAAGTATCCAGGCACGCCGAGCCAAACATTTGTCCTTCTACATAGCCGTGAGCACGCTCAAACTGCATGTTCTGCTTTGTCTCTGTTGGTATTAGGGTATTCCTCAAGCCAAAGGGCCTTCATCCTCCACAAACAAAAAACTGGTGTCTGTTTGTGTTTATGGCTAAACTTTTCCAGCCCTAGTCACATATTTAATTGTTTCTGGGCACAATGGTTTCAGCAATTTTATGAGGAAAATATGACTCACTGACTTCTTGCAAAATATTTCTGCTTGTGTTTTGTATTTTGAATTAGTAGCCATGTTCTTCTTTTACTACCTCCAAGAGGTTCACTTGAACTTGGTGAACTGTGGCTAGAGCAAGGAATTCATGTTTCCTTAAAATGTATAATGTTTTAGTCGTGAATGACCAGTTGGTTAAGCGCTACCTCTTGCTCCTAGTTGTGTGTCTACAAAACCGTACCAGATGTCTGTTTCTTTCAGCTATCTGTGGACACACACATCGAGTTGACAGCCCAGGCACAAGTGGAGATGTATCTCCCTAGTGTCAGTACTCGCTTCAGTCAGCAGCAGCTGCCTCACACAATGAAAGCCAGTTTGAAATCACATCAGTTGTTAGTCACTATAGAAAATAAACACAACGACTGAACACAAACTATCAAATGTCGATCACTTCAGTGTCTTAGGATCATGTTTGTAATTCTGGGTATGTTCTGTGATTACAACAATTTGTCTAACACCACCTGATGTTAACTTTCATCTTACGTTTTTAGACTAGTGTTGCTAGTTTTATACGTAACTTTATTTGTAAATGTTACATTAGCTTTACTTGGAAGGGCAATAGAGCCACTCTATCTTCTAGTTCTGGAATCCAAGCAGACTTGATTTAATTTTGTATTAGCGCCACATAATCCTTTTCTCAGTATCAGATGTGCTCAACATTTTAGTGGAGGGACTGCAGCCTTGACCCTAAAATATGTGGCTTATATTTGTGCCTATATGCAGAATCCTCTGAGTTAGTGTATTTTTGATAGCAGAGTTCATAGATTTTATTGTAAGGTTGTCACCTGGAATCTATGTCTTTTTAGATCATGGTTTTATAAAATTCACTTCAGGTCCATGACAGCCAAATTTGTTATTAATGTGTATTGGTTCTACACCATTTCTACTGAAACTCAATTTTCACTGTGTGTAACCCAAGTCAGTAGTGATTAAGTACATGAACATTCAGGGACTTCAGAGACATTCTCTGGACTTACTCTAGAAATTATCTGTGATTCCAAATTATCATCTGCTGTTTCAAAAAAGCCTTCAGTCAAAGGTGCTAAGTTACTCATTCCACGTCCCTGCATTTATTATAAACTCCATCACAATAACTGTTTTGCTGCTATAACTGCATCTGTATTGGGGTTTTAGCTGATAGAAATATATACTGCTAACACTTTTAGGTGAAAAGACAACCCTAACATAATTACACCAGAAAATTTCTAGCATAAGTAAAATTTAAGACTAATTTTGCAAAATGGGCTACATTTGTCTACCATCACTTTGATGTGATCACAATTCTTTTTCTTCTTCTCATTTATTTCAAAACTCAGGCACAATGGAATTAAGTAACCCTTCTGAATGCTTATGATGGGTGGGATCCATTTCAAAACACTTGCGGCAGACAATGGCATTTGAGTCTTTCATGACACTGATAAAGAAAAA